CGGGACCAGGCAGTGCCTCCTTCTGTTTTGCCCAGGGTAGCTAGGGGTGGGGACCGACTTCATGGTGCCTAACAACAACGTGGGCCTACTCTCATCCCTCTCTTCTAGTGTTTAATGAGTTAATGTGCACAAAACACTGAGAACCGTGCCTGGTAAGTGCTTAATAAATGCCCCTAAAACCTGCTGTCTGGCTTATAGACCAGAAGCTGTGGCCGTAATTCTCTTTCGCATCTTGCAAGATGGCAGGTGAGAAGGCTGAGAAGAAGCCAGACACCAAGGAGAATCCTGAAGTCAAGAAAGCAAATGCCAGTGGCCAGGTAAGAAGGCTGCGATCAAGAAGCGGAAACCCCACTGTGGTCCAAACCCCGTCCCAGTCAGCGGAATGGGCCCAGTCAGCGGAATGGGCCGGTCTTCCATCTGCGCCACATATCCCAGAAAGGCCAAGGACCAGAGGAAGCATTCAGCGGCCAAATCCAAGGTTGCGAAGAAAGAGGAGGAGGAGGAAGAACAAGAGGAGGAGGAGAAGGTCCGAGCCACTGTCACAAAACCAGTTGGTGGTGACAAGAATGGTGATACCCCAGTGGCTACACTGTCCACATGCCCTGGGGAAGCTGTGCTTGGGACGCCATCGAGCCACGGCAAAAAGCCCTCCAGCCAGCATCACCACGGGGACCCTTCCCATCACCCTGATGCAAGAGAGCGGTTTTCCAGAAGCAGCTGGGCAGTGGCTTGCTGCTTGTGATGGGCTCTCCCTCCCTCCATTGGGTAGAATGCACCAGAAATTTGTCCTCACCACCTCCGCCAAGCCTGATAGCGGTGGTGTGAAAGTCCCCCAGCATCTCAGGGACGCCTCCTTCAACAAGAGGAAGCTGCAGAAGCGCACACCCCCAGAACGCGAGATCTTTGACTCCAAGCAAGAAAAACACGAGATCACAGAGCAGAACAAGGTTGATCAGAAAGCCGTGGACCCGCACATTTTGGCAGGAATCAAAGCCGCTCCCCAGCTCCAAGGCTACTTGCCTGCTACCTTCGCGCTCACAAATGGAATCTACCCTCACGAATCGGTGTTCTAGATTTCTTGCAAAGAACGTAATTGAATAACTGATAAAGTTTTAAAAAAAACAAACCCTGCTGTCTGGACAAGAGCCATTGAAAGGATGTGGAGGATACAGGAAGGGTATTTAGATATGTAATTCATGTTTACTTTTCACAGTACGTATACCATGACATAAGGCTGGATCACAGAGTAACCGTCAACAAGATTGGCTGATATTTCGACTATTTCTGCCTGACTTTAACTCCTCATCCTCACTCCCTGCACCACCCCGCCCCCCCCAACACACACATACACGCAGTCAAAGAGACAGAGAGAGAACCTGAGTTCTTCAAGTTTGTTAAACCAATTACCCGGACAGCTGAAAGCTTTGGAAGTGATCCAATCTCCTCTCCCAGCCCCATCACGTGTTCAGCCCTTGCTGTGGCTTCGCCACTGAGGTTCCTTGGAGGTGCTCAGTGTCATGGCCAAGGTCACAGAACCCAGTGATGCGGGCTGTGCACTGCACAGCTCCAGTGCTGTGCTTTCTCCTTTTCTGGGATGCTCCACGTCTTCTCATCCCATAAGGACCACGGGGGCAACCGGTGGCCTCCCTTTGTGAAAGCCGAGACAGGGCCATCCGGATCAGCCCCAAGAACCTGAGCCATTCATGCCACAAAGCCCTTGGTCGTCAGGTCGAATCCAGGGATGATTCACACCTAAGCAGGTGCAGTCAGAGCACAAGCAAGACCTCTGTTAAAGAGCTGGAAGGTGGGCAGGGCCCTCTTGCTCTGGATTAATATTCTCTGCAGGATTAATATTCACTGGGTTGGGGAGGGCAGTGTGATGTTGGTGCAACGTTGGTTCTGAGAGCACCGCCGTGAGGTTGTCTGATCATCCCCAGGTTCCTGATGAAGATACTGAGGCTCTCAGAGTGCAGGCTGTCTGGCTCCAAAGTCCAGGCTCAGCCAATAGGCTGCTCTTCTCACCTCCAGGAGGGAATCTGGACTTAGGACAAAGCAGGAGGGTGGGGATCCACAGAGGAAGGTCTGACTCATACTCCATGTGCTAGTGAGATTTTCTGTGCCAACTTGGCTCCCATAGAAACATGGCGGTGTGGCCATCTCATAAAAAGGACCTTGGGAACTTCCTCTTTCTCTCTACCTTCATCTTCTTGCCATCGAGTCACTCAGAGCCCTGCCAGAGCCCTGGAGGTGCGTCCACCATCATTGGAGCCACAAGACTTTGCATCCACCAGCCAGTGGGTTTCCTGCATTTTGCATCATTGCTTGTGGTTGC